ACATACATATACATATACACACACACACACGCACGCCCGCAACATATTTTTCCGTGTGACTTTACAGACTTTTCGCCAGAAACTTAAACCATGCAATCAACCTGCGACTAGACTCCGAAAGCAGCTTGGTGCTTCGATAGGTACACAGAGCACGGCGAGGGACTGCGAGCTCTCACCCTGGAGTGAGTGCTGCTGGCCAGTTTTACATCCAAGACCACAAATCGGTTACCTCTTCCAGCGAGTGCACGCTTGAGGTCTGCAATTTCAAGTTTCGGGGGCCCGTTCTGTAGAATCCCTCCTTCCCGTGCGTTTGCCGGGTGTTCTAAAATAAATCTGTGGGCCTTTCGCTCGATGTCGAAGAGCAGCCAGGTGGAGCCACTGCGATTCCCATGACCAGCGGGACAGAGCAGCTGCCGAGCAGTCGTTGCCCCCGCATCTTTCCTCGGTTTCCACAATGAGAACGTAAAGTTGGAAGCCTAATTTGGTGGTGGCCGTCCTCCCCACGACCCAAGATCCCGGAGCAGCATCATATTACAGGATCCATGTTATGCGCAGCTTTTCGAGGGGCTATGCTGCTTCCCGTGAAACCGAAAAGCGGACATGATCAGGGCCGAGGCAGCTACAACGTGCAGTGCGGCCATCGAGCGAGCTGGCGAACAGGTCAACAGCACCAGAAATGCGAATTGTGTGGACGTTGTTTCATGGCCCTGTCATGGGCAGAGCCGGTCACCGGCCAACAGTCCAGCAGCACCAGCTGAAATGTCTCTGGGCTAGCGCCCTTTCCAGGAATACACGCATAGATCCCTAAACTCCAGCGTTTGCCACTACATCTCTGTAAGTTGTTTTGCTTTGCGAGACCAGCCAGCACGCCATTAATGCCGCGTTAACGTCAATGTCGGGAACAAGCATTTTGACAACAGCCTATACAGGACGGTCATGCATTATTCTCGGTGACTTGACCAAGCAGGAGCGATACCGCATCATCGCAGAGGAGCCCTCAAAGGACACGATTGGTCTTGGCTGCTGTTGCGGCATGTGGGTGTGGTTTCGCCGTGTTGGGCCGACTTCGCTGTGTGTGTGTGTGTATGCGCTTGTGCAGGACGGGAAGCCATGCAACGGCACCTTGAAGGAGGTTTCGGCAATCAGTTCTCTGCACTGCAGGAGCAGTCTTCAAGTTGCATTCGACATCTGCTTGCTTCTCAGATCAAGCCCTGCACGGTTGCGGTGGACTGCATCCTCAGCCCCTGGACTGAGTGGGACAGTTGTCGAGGCCTCAGGTGCCAAGTCCAAGGGTCCTGCACCACCGTGGCACACCTGAATCTGTAGCGCGTATGATCTATGCAAGAGCACTCCCCTAGCTAGCAGCAAACAGTTTCTTTTGTCCCCGTCATTCCCTGCTTCGACTTGCAGTATCACATTGATGGAAAAGCTCGCGCAGCGTGGGCTTCTTGGTTCTACCTTCCCAGACACTGCAGCGAGGCGACAAGTCCTGCGATGGAGGTCAGAAGCAGCGGCAGCGCCAGGTGAATCAGCTCTGTGGATTGTGGTCACCAGAACAGCGTACCCTCTCTCTCTCTCTCTGCGTCGGATTGGGACAGGTAGAAGTGAATCCAAAGCACAGGGGCAAGTTGTAGCCCCAGGAAGATCACACGTGTTTCAGTTGGACTCCTGACTTTGGCTGAATCGGCCTTTTGAGCAATTTCGATGTGAAAGAGGAGTGCTTCAGACTTCAGGCCGTGTGACCCTGGCTTGATCGAAACAGCTGGCTGCAACCATGAGCCTTGGCCCGAGCTACCTGCGGGATTTAAGGTGAGACTTCTGGTTTTTTGTAGATGTTGCAATGTGTTGCAATGCAGTGCCTTTTTGCCACAAGGCCATGCTCAAATGAAGAGGTCAATTGCAAAGTCAGTATCTGGACAGTGTGGCAGCCTCAGGCCCGCAGCTCTCGTAGGTGCACAGGCTTCGCACGACAGCGAATTGGCAGTGACTGAGGTGGTCGCCATGCAGCGCCACTTGTGGACCTGGCTATCAGGAAACGTGGCATCGGTTGCCATGTTGCCTCGAAGTGTCGTTGTGCTGAATGAGTTGTTTGATCAGGAGAGATCTCGGAGAGTCACTCACAGGCGAATTGCTCACAAGCTGATGTGTCAACATGTTGCCGGTACAATGTGGGATCCGTTCGGATGAACATTTCTGAGGGGGCGGTTGGAGAATCATTGGAAAAACGTATGTCGCTTGAGCTGCACTCCGCGCTTCACAAGATCATGTCCAATGTGCAATTCCTTACTGCGAGGTCAAGGCCTGCTTGGGTTTTCTTTTGCTCGTTTCCGGTGGTTGAATGCATGTGCTCATTTTCGAAGGTACGAGAACCTCTTCAGAAGTTTCGGTAGGTCCATGTAGGTGAGGCTTATTTGACAGCAAAGGCTAATAAGCACTTTCCTAAACTGGTGGCCTTAGTTACTTAAGCCGAGAGGTCTATGGCAAAACTTTGTTTCAGAGTGAATCTTATGAGGCGGTTAACTGCCAGAGAGCATTCTATCACGATTTGTGTTGCCCTCGGAGGCTCAGCCACTGTGGCACGGGCTGCGTCGGCAACCTAACCGAGGCGGGAGGAAGCGCAGAGCAGAGCTTGTCTCACGCCTCGCTTGTGCCAGGTCAAGCCTTGCCACCTCGACCATTGCGGAAACTGCGACCCCTGCGTGAGAATCTCGGTAAGCTTTCCACATGTCCGGCAGCTCTCTTGTCACAGGATGCCTCAAACGACTCTGACAGGTCTGGGGAGAATGGAAGCAATGGAGCGAATGCACGCGGCACTGCGGCGGTGGTCCGCGGGCCGAGATGTGCTAGCAGCGTCATGGCAGACTCGACTCCAAACCGGGGAGTTGTCCGGACCGAGCCCAGGTCAACGCCATCGATTGCGCAACATCTCATCGCCTCGCCTGCATGTTTGGCCGTTTGGCACTCGCTCTCGAGACTCCCTGAAACAGGTGGCCGTCTCCTGGATGCGAGCCGTGCAAGCCGCTGGACAAGGCAAGGAAGCGGAGCCTCCCTTGAGCCCTATATGTGACCATCTGCCGCTGCAGGCTTGGGTGGAGCCTTGCAATACCGAGCCATGCCCCGAAGGGGAGTGCGGTTCTCGGAGGTCTCGGGTCGCAGAAGTGACCCACATCCAAAGAAGCGCACTTGATCCGCAAAGGATCTGCGTTGATGGACTCTGGGCGGACTGGAGGGACTGGGAGGCCCAGCGTCCGAGCAGCTTGGGTATTCATGTAAGTTGCAGAAGCAGCTGACCTTTCAGTCGACACAGCGGCTCCTTGAAATTTAAATGACGAGATCGCTGTTTGGCGGTGGCTCCGTGAGCAGGGGCTGGGACGGCAAAGCAAGACCTTCGCCTCAGAGCCTTCCCAGCCTCCTCAGATCCTGTCGGGCCTCATGTAAGCCGGCCATAGCCGACCACAGCCTTTGCAGGCGTGTTCCACCTCCTGTGAGGGTGGTGTGCGTGCAAGAGGTCGACACATGCTGCGGAAGGCCGGCAGTAAGGATCAGTCCTTGGTTGTGGTAGGGCCTGGGTTGAGGCAGGGTCAAACCAGGAAGGAGGAGCACTTGAACAAGTAGCTTCATGAGCACGGGATGCTGTGATGTGAGGCTACTGAATGCGGGAGGATGCCAGACGGCGACTCCCACGAAGAGGGTGCGGTACTCAAGTTGTGATCTTGGAAGATCCGCTTGTGATCGACTCTGAGTACTGCTTGCCATTTTGTTGCAGAAATGAACTGGATGTTCCCTGACACTAAGAACCTTGCAACAAGGGCATCCCCTGCAAGGATACGCAGGACCCGGTCGACGACTGCAAAACGGAGAGTGCTGAAACCTGCTTCGCATCCTGGCCTGCAGGATTGCATTCTCTCCGAGTGGACCATGTGGTCCGATTGCAGTGCCTCATGCCATGGCTGGCTACTGAGAACAGACGGAGTTGTTAGTTCGACATCCCATGACTTCTGCCACAAGGAATCAAGAAACGGAGCCGTACGGTCCTGCAGCATGGCTATGGAGTTCGGCCCTCGGGGGTTTTCGCTTGCCTTGTTGAGCCGTCGGTTTTGCCCTTGTCTCGATCTTGCCCGAGCTGGTGGCACACCAAGTCGGGACAATACTGTCGCGGCGCCATGGAGGAGGCGTATCCTTGCGCGCTCGATTCTCAGAATCCGGCGAGCATCTGACGAAGAGAGTTGATTGAGCAGTGAGATGTAGTTTCAGAGTTTGCGGCAAGGTATGGCATCTCCAGGAGTTTGGTCAACTGGGACAGCAAGCACCTTAGCGAAGCACCGCCCAGCTTGGCGAACCGACCACCGGCCGTGCTGGGCTGTGCTGTGCCAGACTTGTGATAGGCCCGCACCTCTACCTCAATCTTGGGGGTGTCTCGGCGAACAACCTTGGCGGCAAAGGCCCCGACTTCCAGGCAAATTCCCGGCCCTGTTTGTGGTATGTAAGAGAGAGCTTGTGTGAGAGACAGAGAGAGAGTTTTTTTTTGTGACACTGTGTTATGTGTCCTGCTGCCTGTCGAAGGGGGCGTACAGAGCTATAGAGGTGCAAGCTAGCTATACGGAGCGAGTTTGCGCAACAGTCCCGGTAGCAGCCTTAGAGACGAGATGAGGCTCGGGGGTTGTAGGTCTAGGTTAGGGCCTAGGGGGTTTATGGAGTTGTGGAGACGGGAGCCTCACCTGACTTAGCTGCCGAACAGACTGCAACAGACAGGGCGCGCCCGCACGCAGGAGGGAGCGTTGCGCGTGCTAATCTGTGTTTTAATGACTGGCCGCTGGAGCCTTTCCTAACACCTCGTGACTTCCACCCGCCCCCTGCGGGAATTGCTATTCATCATGCCAAATTTGTTCCCTTGAGCTTTGCAGACGTTGGAGGCTTCCGTTTGATCATGGTTAGTCGCATCGTGATGGGAACCTCAGATCGTCCTTTCTCCCCGTGAGAATGCAGGGAGTCTGGCCAACATACGTGGCCATCTGCTTTTCCCTCCTTTGGCACCTACAATAGGTTGGGGACTACTTGCTCGCGGCCAGGGGACACACCCCCGGCCACAGCCCTGGCGAAAGAAAGAGAGTGAGAGAGAGAGAGAGAGCCCTGGACCTCATCACAGAAGCCATGCTGGCGAACGATGTGGGGGTGCCGGGGGTCGTCGACTACCTCTCCGCAGCTGCTACGAGGCTCTCGCAGCTCCATGTCGCCCGCAAACCGGGGACAAACAGAGGGGGACGACCGCTACCGACACCTAATGCCTTTGAGATCGCGGCGCTCACCGTGGGGATCATGGAAGAAAGCAGCCAACAAGGAGAGCAACCCTCTATGGCGGAGTTACTGGAGCTGTTAGAACTCGTGCAAGCGGGGCTGGCACTCCTTACAAGGGGGAGGCACAGCTACAACTAGCAAGTCACCCACTGGGCAACGGACGCAGCAGAAGAAGCCCTTGCGCTACTGACAGTGGTGACAGCCACCGACCATGCAGGGGAACTTCAGCGAACACAACCAGATGTGGGGGACATGCTGCCCAAGCTCCGTAACTTGCTCGACGAGGCGGCGACAGGAGTAGGAGTGCTGGTGGGAATATACCCACACCGGGGGGAAGCCGAGCAGATCCACCCGGCCGATGTCATCGCCCAGCAAGGGGGACGAACACGGCAACCAGTCCAACATCCCCAGCGAGACCCTCCTGACGCAGTACATGTCTACAAAGCCCAACGAACTCTGCGACAGCTCCTCCCCTTCTTGGACGGCGAGATGGGAACGATGGGGGAACGTGCCCTTAACCATATTGGGAATGGATTCGTGCGCACTGGGGGGAAACGGTCCAGCTTCTCAGCAGCGATGAGGAGACAGTGAACCCAGGACACGACCGCCCAGAAGAACTGCCCCAGCTGGAGGGGGAAAGGACTACCGACAGCAAGAAAAGAGCCCACCTGGGGGGCGAAGTCGGGGACACGTTCCTGGACCTGGCGAGCGGGGCGGCCAGTCCCACCACACCTTTTGCCAGATCAGCCGCACCAACAACTGAGGGGCCAAATGAGGGGGCCAAGAAGAGTGCAGGGGACGTAGGAGGCGCTCGTTTACCAGTCCCAGCTCGCTCGATAACGATGACTAGGCGCGTGTGGGGTGTTCGCTAGTTTCGTGTTGTTGCTTCCTACTACAATGATGGAGCGGGGGCGAAGGGACGGGGCGTCAAACAGTCTGGCCAGGGGCTCCTTTGTCTATGGCACTTTCTCCCCTAGCCTGCCCTTTCAGCATCGGTAAGAGTTGTTTGTTTGCTTGCAACCGGCTGCTGAGTGCACAGCTGCAGCACCCGTCGAATACGGGAACACAAGTACTGCCGCGAGTCGAGTTCGGGGGTGGGGTGGGAAGGTGCCAGGCAGTGTCGCTGCGAGGTTCTGTTCGGTTTCAGGTGGGGAGGCAGGCAGGTTGGGTTAATCTGGTAGAGTGCTGTAGGGCATGTTGGTGCCGGCTAGTGAATTCAGTAGGTGGTTGCATTGCAGTCCTGTTGAAGGTAAGAGGTGTTTGCTTGTGTGTACCGGCGCCAGAAACAATCATCGCAGAGTGGAGCTCGAGCGGTGGCGCAGCGTTGAACGCAGAGTGGAGGACCCAGGTGAACACAGAGTGGGTTTTATGGTCATGGCCTCAGGAGGGGTGTTCTTTCCGAGGGTTTTGGCTGTGCTCACCTGGAGGGAACACTCTTGCAAGCCCCAAAAAGGGGATCCGACAGACGCGAACCGGTGTGGGGTTGGCCTTCGGGCCGGGGGTCTTGGCCCCAAACCCTTAGCAAGCAAGCCAGCAAGCAAGCAAGAGAGAGAGAGTGCGTGGAGTCTCTTCCGGTACGTGTACTGATCCCCCGAAAGCCCCGTTAATCTTGAAAGGCCCCATGGGCCGGGGGGCCTGACCCGCCCCTCTTACCCGGCGGAAGAAAAGAGAGAGAGTGGAAGAAGAGACGGAGCAAGCACGCGAGCATGACTCGCAGCGGTCTGCGTGTTGTGACGGATCTTCCAGTGCGCCAGGCCGAGAGGGAACTTCGCTTCAAGGGCGCCGCAGCAGAAACTCGACTTGGGTTGGCATGCTTTCGGCAACGGTCTTGAGCTCCGTAGAAGCAGGGCCTTCTCGTCAGGAAGAACGGCTTTCTTCTCTTCGGAATCGCTCAACCCCTGTGCGCGGTTGCATGAGGACAACTCGCAGACCGTGGACCTGAGAGTCACTGTCGATGAGGCCAAAGAACCTACAGTTTCATTTGGCGTTTGTAGCATCCGGCAACGAGGAGAGCAACTACAATGCAGGGCAGGCCGACCAGCCATGACACGAAAGGAGACTCCATGGTCCTTCTCGAGTTGCTTGACATACCTGCAGGGCGTGAAGTTCAACGGCCTGCAAGGGAGCTTCGCAAATATTTTCGTCGAGTGGCGTCCTTTCGAACACAGAGAGTTTTTTTTTGCGCGTGCACGTCCGGACTTGGTCAGCTAAGACGTGTATGGTTTCGTCCTAGGCGCAATTCCGAAGTGGTGTTGAACTTCGAGCTCGTCGACACTGTCACCAGTGATCCAATGGCTGACGCCTCAGGGAGTCCTGAGAGTGGCACAAGCTTCATTCCAGCTGAACATGGAGCATGGAGGGGGCTCTCACCTGGGTCTCAAACATGGTACACGGGCCCGGTCCAGCTCAGCTTTCCAGTCCATGCCTGCCCGTGTGCAGACACCCGAAGACCTTGTCATCAAGTTCTTCGACGCCGATGACGAGCAAGGCATTTTCTGTCTGCTTTGCTTGCCATGCGGTGCAGTGTCAAGGCCAGAGTTTAGGCCGCTCTGCCATTGAAGACCTTGCTGGCCTCAGGGATTCAGAGCGGCACAGGCCCGAGACTACACCCCTTTTATGATCAGGGAGCAACAACTACGAGATCACGGCCGTGGATGAATGCGAGGCACAGCAGATTCGCTGCTCCAAGCCTGCTTCGCTTGGTCCCCAAGAGTCGACAGTCTCGTGCACAGGAGTTCTACAATTCTCCAAACCCCGATTTCACGCCCCGGCCTCGGCTTCTTTAGTGAACTCGTAGCACCGAGACCAAGACCACGCTGACTTCGTGAATTTAAACGTGTTCGATCACACGAGCTGAAGCTTGCATTTTCCAGGGTCATTGGCAGCTGTTCCACCCCAGGGCCCACCACCTTCTCGCCAGTGCCTCAAGCAGGACAGCCTGCCAGTGACAGTGCAGAGACCCGAAGCTTTCACGATAAGGTACCCCGCTGTTATCAACAGCTCAACTCGGCGCTCGGCACTCAACGCCTCTCGAGCCTCTCGAGGGCTGCTCTGGGGTTTGGGTCTGCACCGACTCGCGTGGGTGGGCTCGGGCTACAAGAAGCTTGTCGCCTAAATCACAGATGATCTGAATCTGCAGCTTTTTGTCCAAGTGCCATCGATGCATGTGGCAAGATGCATTTGCCAAGGACGGCGCTCATGCCTCTTTGTATTGCCGCTGCAACTGCATCAGGAAATCTTAAAACCGTCCAACTTCGAGGCCTCACATCCCGAACCCCGCGTTGGAAGACGTCGGAAATTGAACAGCACGCTAGCCACGATGCGCTGCTGCTTTCTGCAGGCTGGGCATTGAAGCTGTTGTAGCTGCTAGCATCAAGAGCTACATAATTATTGACGAACATTTGCTGTAATTAGCTGCCAGTCACCGCACAGATTGGCTTCACACGGCTGAAGAGAAACTGGAAGAGGCCCTGGTTCTCCCGGCACTCGCCGATCAATGCAGCCAGGCGATCCTGGCCTCCGCGAGGTCGAGCGAGATGTTTTTGCGACATACAGTCCGCTTCCTTGCAGTTGGCGGTTTCTGCCCTGTTTGCAGGGCGGGAGACCTTGCGCAGCTCTCCTTGAGTCTCTCGGCAAATGCAGACAATGCAGACTCCCAGAAAGCAGACACAGCTTGTTTGTTTTTGGGCTTCTAAGGCCTGGAGTCGGAGCTTCCTTCGTGTCGCCTGGCTGTGAGGCTGGTCTCGCTTGAGTACTGATGCTTGAACAGCCAAGGCAAGGGTGAAAACGGGGAGACGCCCCTGCACTTGGCTGCTGGCAACGGTCAGGCGGCGGTAAAGCCGGTAAAGTCACCTTGAAGAAGTTCCAAGAGCAAAGTCGAGGGGTGTCGGTCCAGGTCTTGGCTGCAGAGGCCTTGCTGAGCGCTCGTGCAGCCATGCCAGGTTCTTGGAACTGAACGCACAAGCAGCAGTCTGTCTATCGACTGTGCCGGAATCGGGGATTCGTCGAGTGAGAGGTCAGGCGACAACATGGGCCGTGCCCCGCTCCACTTCGCAGCTCAGGCATCACTTAAGCTGTTGCTTCCGAGCTCGAATCTCACTATCTGCACTATCCCTCATGAAATGTAGTTGTGGTGTTCTTCTTGTGGATAGGAGGGCGAAAGCGAAGCCCACAATAGCGCCAGAGCTGTCCCACACTGCAAACATACATGGCATGGGACAAGCATGCAAGTCAGAATGACTGTGACAAAAGGGAGGAGGCTCTCCGCTGTTTGTAGTAGAGCTGGCGGCTCGCAAGCATCCCCGCGTCCTCTCGGCCACAGTTTCGTTTTACCTTTGCTGGTCAGGGTGGCTACCTCGCAACTGCGGGGTTGTTGCTGGAGGCACAGGCACGCATACTGCCGCAATCTGGTCGAAGACCTTGAAGTCTTCCGGCAACTCCTGAATGTCGCAGGCCTACCTAGAGCTGGAGGATGCGACCCAGCGCACACCCCTGCATCACTCCGCCCGAAGCGGCCACGTAGAGGCAACACCGAAGGGGCGAGAAAGAAGCAGCCACCCACGATGCTTGTTCGTGCAGGTCACGGAGCTGCTGCTGAGTGCCAAAGCACGGCTCGAGACTTGGTGCAGAGCTATACAAAGGTGTTCAGTCCAATGTTTGACATAACTCGAGGCCGGATGCCCGAGACGGTGACCTCAACACGCCGCTACACCACACCGCACGCTCTGACCTGCTCTTCAACGTGTCCGTCCTCCTCCTCACACGAGGCCTCGCCGCTTCGTGGAGGATGGCGCTTAATGTCGTTTTGGGAGTGCAGGTGCCGACTTTGAGCTTGAGGATGCAATTGGGTTTCGGCCTTTGCACTATGCCTGCACCTTCAGCCAGTGCCCTCGGCTGCAAAACTTTGCTTTTTGGTCAGCAGCTCATGGTATGCAGTGCACGCTGTACGCCAAGTATAAGGTCTCTAACTGCCATGCGGCTCTTGGATCTGTCTGCCGACGTCTGGGCAATGGACAGGTCTGGATGGTGCCAAGTCTTCAATCAACGGCACTCAGCTGTCCACAATCGCGTCGTATGGTAACTAACCTACTGTACCGCTTCTCCCTCAAAAATCTCCCATATGCAGAGATTCAAGGAGCCCCGTGATACATGCGGCTGCTGTCGGCGAGCACCAGTTTGTTCAACAGCTGGTGACACGCATCGCCAAGCCAAAGGAGTTTGTGCAACCCGATCCCTCCAAATTCATCGTCCAGGCGGATGCGTGTTTTGCTGCCGATTTAGACGATGAAAAAGCAGTTTTAAAAAGCAACATATTCTCAGACTGATAGGGGGACGGCACCATCGGCGGCATACCAGCTCTGGTAATGATCGGAGTCGTCGTCGTCCTGCTCAGCATCGCGGTTGTCATTCCAGGCCAGACTGGGAAGAAGCAGACTTGTCCTATTCTGTCGGATAGGCGGTGACATGACCAGATCTCGTGCCTGTAGGCTGCAGGATAATACGACGATTCCGTCGGCTCAAGAAGCCGTATGAAGTGGAGGACGCAGACGAGTCGGTGCACGCCTCGTTCTGAGTGGACATGGGGAAGCGATTCGGAAGAGTCCGAGGCGGATGATTTCATCACTGAGCTCTTTGTTTATTTGGGTGAACAGCCGGGACAGTTGTCTCAGCTGGCCCAGGCCAGGCCCATAGAGCAGGCCCTGAGAGTCGCCCTGCTGAGACTCTGCACCTCGCAGGAGTGGGATCGCGTGAACGTCAATGCCATCAGCGACCTGCACCGCGTGAAGACCAAGGGCGCGTGACAAGCAACCCCCGAGTCCCGGAAGGGCGCATGCCCCCGATGCCCACGGCCAAGCACGCCCGCCAGGCCTGAAGTACATGCTTGCAGAGAGCCACAGACACATGAAGCTGCATCGTGTCCTCGCTGCTGCAACTCCTGAGGTTTGCGTCTCATACTGTCTGGAACCACATTATGAAAGGCGAAAAACTAGAAAGGAGTATGGAGCCTGCCATGGATCCGTTGGTTGCTGATCGGTCCGCATGAAATCATTTGCATTTGCCTCGCTGTGGCAGCTTTTGTCATAGTCGCAGTGCGGTGCAAAAACATGAAGCGACAATCAGTGATTGGAGAGTGAACGAGGTTATGGCGCAGACAGGGCGGCACGTTGCAACCGCAAAGAGCCAAACTGTTCGCTCTCGTATCCTTGAACTGCAGGGTTCCTAGTCCTAATGTGTCTCAGAGCAGTTTTCAGTGCAGTCAGTCAATCAATCAGTCCATCATCCATCAATCAATCAATCAATCAACACTTCAGCAGTATGACCATGTGGCGGTATACATCAAGTACCTGGCAGGGGACAAACAGTATCAGTTTATATCCACCGGGAGGTCACGACCAACGCATAGCGTATCTTTTCTATGTCACTTGCGAGCTGAGCAGGAGCCGATGACCGTCACGGCAGCGGTGGCGGTAGCAGCACGACAATCACCCGCAGCTTTACTTGCACAGAGCCTCGGCCGAGGTTCATTCCATCTTTGAGCCTACGGTAGAAGCCCGAAGCTTCAGATGCAGCTCCCGGGCCTCCAACTAGAATACTACACCTCAGAGGCCATCGAGACCTAGCTTTGCAACGGGTTTAACTCGCATCTTCTGAGGAAAGATACACTGGGAAACATCAATTTCAGCGTCCACACTGGGGTTCCGGGGTGCGGGATGGCCGGATTTTCAAGTTTCGTCAAAGACATTCTTTTATCAGATGTTGTTATCGAAAAGGAGTCTCGGTGGCTATGTTTGGTCGGGAACCAACGCATCTTTCTGATCTCTCGGGTTTATCACCCGGACGAGACGTGAAAGCTTCAAACGGCGTTCCTACACTTTCAACTCTGAAGGCACGGTTGCAAAGGGAAAGATTGTATTGTTTGACTTTTCGGCGGTGTTTTGCATCATAGAAGCCGCGCATTAAAAGCATGTCTCGGACGCAGCGGTTCCTTCGGGCAAACAAGACTTGTTAGGACTTTGTCTTGGGACTCGTAACGGCGGGGTTGATTGCGAAAAGGCCTCCTCAGCTGCTCCTGTTAAGACTTCGATCGATCTTACACAGTAAATCCTGGCTCCAAGGCATCTGACGTGGTCTACGTGCTTCTCGGACAAACGTGACACACAAGAGCGAAGCCAAAACGAGATTTCGAGACGTGGCTGGAGACACGGTGCCTTGTAGCAACCGGCTGTGTGGGTAGCGCCAAAAAAGAGCATCAAGACGGCAGGAGCCGAGGTGCCAGTGCTTGTTGCAAGGCAGCAACTGCTTTGTGTGTGCAACCAGTTCGAAACATGTCGGACATGTCGATAGTGGGCATGTCGCAGCATAAAGACGATCAACAGCCTTCCAAGGCTGCGTGTAGCCCACAGATGTCTCTTTGTTCATGGAGCTTGGCCTGGGACCCACGAAAGATGGCTTCCGGTCTGCGATCGCAGAATGTGGCGCGCAGCGACGCTGGGAGAGAGCATTGCTCCTCGTGACCAAGCTTGAACGACGACAGCTACACCCCGATGAGTCCATCATGGCTGCAGCCATGAAGGCTGTGAGTCTCTCCGCTCAGTGGGTCCAGGCCCTGCATCTTTTGGGCAACCTACCAAAGATAAGCGTAAAGATTAATGCCCGCCACTGCACCATCGCAATCAGTGCCATGCAACCCAGTGGAGACTGGGCTCGCGCACTGTCGCTCCTTGCGTCTATGGCCCCGAGAGACTTGCAACCAACGGTAGACACCTACACTTGGACCATTTGCACTTGTGCAAAGGCCTCTGAGTGGAGCAGAGCATTTAACCTCCGCGATCAGATGATGGAGGAAGGCATGCAGCCCAACAAAATCACCTACCGACAGCTGGCTGTCATGTGCAGGAAAGAGGCTTTGTGGGAACACGGGCTACAACTACTAGCTGACGCACAGGCATCGCAGGTAGCGTGGGACGTTCCGGTGGTGCTAGGTGCTGTAGGGATGTCATGTGTGCGTGCCCAGCAATGGCAGCGTGCCGCAGCTGTTCTTGCTGAGTTTGAGGGGCAGCTGATGGAAACTAACTATTTCTGGAATTTGGCACAGATCAGAATATTGGCAGAGCGGGAACAGTGCGACGGCTGGGAGGCTGCCTTTGCCTGGCTTTCGGAACAGGACCTCGACTCCTTTGACGATGAAACCGTTTGCCCTGCGATTTCTGCTTGCGGCGCCCAGTGGCAGAAGGCACTGGAATGGCTTTTGGCTCTGCAGGAAGGAGGCACAGCAGTCACCACAGCCATGTACCAGGAGCTGGTGCGTATTCGAGCAACGGGTGGTGAGGACGAGGACGAAGACTACGACATGGACGAGGACTGGCCTCTCGCATAAATACTCGCCGAAGGCCTAAGGTGATCGAAATTAGGCCTTCCCGGACTTGGAGCCACCCGGTCCTAAGGCGAGGGGCTGCATTCACGAGCCAGGTTCCCGGTTCTGGAACCAAATCACGCAGAGCGCCAGGCCCAGTGCACTCCTGCGAAGCAGATCGCATGTCGCAGACCCGACGCCCCAGTGTCAGTGCGGTCATCCAGTGCAACGAGCCGCGACATGACTTGGCCTGCTGGGGTCTCTGCAGCCTGAAAGGGCGATTCCTGGATGCGGATGACGGCATGCTAGATGCCTCAAAAACTCAGCTGCATGGTGATGTGCACTCCTGTTTGCATGTCGCACCTCCTGATTACCACACATTATCACTATCTTGAACTTCAAGGATCGGTCCCTCTACTCCGTTTCTTCTTCGCGGCATCTCCCAGCTCCAGTTACGGAGGTAGTGCGGGTTTGGCCACATGGAGCTCGAAAGGGCACTCCGCTGGCAGCTCTGCGTGGGCCGACTGGCGCGACTGCAGGACCAAAGGCTGCAGCCGGAAGCAGCTTCAGCGCAGGCCTTCCACCAGCTCTGCAGGCAGCAACACCGAAAGCAACTTAGTTAATTCTGCACCCCTTCCTTTGTAAACCTCCATGCTTTAGGAGACTCTCAAACTGCAAGTCCTGCTCTGCAAGTGGCAGGCGGCAGGAATTGTCAGAAACAACTGGCTTCCGACTGCACAGGTTTCTGGGATTCTGCCTGCCTTCACTTTAGGGTCTGAGGTATGCAACGCTATTGCAGGTTGGGATGGCTTAGAGTCGAGAGTTTGCTGCACATCACTGCAAGATTTCAAACGTTTCTAGTTTGCTACCAGTCAATCCGCTTCAAGGTTTGATGGCCTCAGCCGTTTCAGAATGTTTCCCATCGAGCCGTTTTGGTTGGAAGGTTGTCTGCCCATCAACCTCCGAAGATGCGACACTTCTGACCCATCACTTGTTTCAGAACAATATGGCATGCTGTTCATCACTGCTCAAGATTTCATTTTTGCCGTCCATAACTGTCATCTTGCTTCGGACTTTACATCATTCCTGTCGGGGTTATGCTGGATGTAAGTACGACTGGGGCTGCTAACTAGCTCAGCTTGACAGACGTCTCTGCGCGGGCAGTGACACTGCAAGACCGGCTTGGCTGTTCTTTGGCCTTGGTTATCTTCCCTTTGCTGTCCTGAGTAGTCACACACACACACACAGGCACGCACTGCCATGCCACCCAATTTCCTGCAGTCCCCCGATTCTCGTGTCTTTCTAATCGGCCCCTCGGTGCAGGCAGGGTTCCTGGCACCGAGCCACACAATGCGCACTCCTACAGCCGAACATTATGACCTACAGTGGCAAGGTCAGCGCATGTGTCAGAACTTCAAGATGGAAGCAAGCCCTGCACTTTCTTTTGGAGCCTCAACTGCAGAACATCGAGACCGACACCATCATCCACAATGCAGTCCTTACAGCTCTGGAAAAGGGAAGCCGATGGCGACTAGCCATGGTTTCGCGGCTGGAGCTGGGGAGGCGCCAGCTTGCGGATCTCATCACTTGCAATGCCTTGCTAAGTGCCTGCGAAGCCAAGGCGCTCTGGCAGACAGCAATAGTTCTGATGGTGGAGCTATGGGATGCCGGCCTCCAGGCCGATGTCATCAGTTATAACGCAACCATTAGCAGCCACGGTCGCAGTGAGCAGTGGCAGGAAGCTCTGCGCTTATGCTCTGAAGTCAGCTGGCAATCGCTGGAGCGGCAGGTAGTCACCTGGAGCTCAAGCATCAGCGCTTGTGAGAAGAGTTCGCAGTGGGAGCAAGCCGTAGCACTGCTGGATGAGCTGAATGCTCAGCGGTGCCGAAGCGACGTGATTGCGTACAGTGCCGTGATCAGCGCTTGTGAGAAAGCTTACCAGTGGCAAGCGGCCTTGCAATTGCTGCGAGATTGCATCGACAAGGTTGGCAGTGACGTCATTGTGTATAGTGCCGCCATTAGTGCATGTGAAAAATCCGAGCAGTGGCAACATGCGCTCCTTCTCTTTTGGAACCTCAAGGATGAACTTCTCGCTACGGACGTTATTCTCTACAACGCCGTGCCCCGGCCTGCAAACTAGAAAGAAGCACGTCAAGTCTTGAGCGACCGCCGAGCAGACTGTCGGGAGGGATGCTTAGTGGCTTAGTGCTTTGAGCAGGTTTCTCTCAGTTTCAAGTATTCGTTCGAAGGCCATCAGTGCGTGCGAGAGCCGGGGAAAATGGCAGCAAGCACTGCTCTTGCTGGAGGACATGGCTGAAAGCTGCTTGAGAGGATCCACGACCACACTGAATGTTGCTATCAGCTCATGTCAGAAGGGAGGAAAGTGGCAACAAGCTGTGGCTTTGGCAAACGAAGTGGCCAGCTGTATGCAGACTGACATCGTGACTTTCAGTGCTGCCATCACGGCCTGTGCACCAGCCTCAGCTGCATCTACCTCACGAGTTCGAGGGGCTGGTGGCTTGTTCTTTACAGATTTTTGTTCACTGCTTGAAGAGCGACGAGTCAAAGTTCCGAGGAGGATGCCAGCGAGTGGGAGCAGGCGGCGCTCTTCCTGGCTGAGCTTCAGAATTCAACACTTCAGTGCGATGTAGTGGCGCTCCAGGCAATGCTAAACGTGTGTAGGGATGGAGGGCAGAGCCACAGCGCTGTAGAAGTGCTTGCTGAACTGCGAGTGCTCGTTTGGCACCTTATACCTGCATGAGCCGTGCCGACCTACCGGTGCTTCACCTGTTGACCTCGGTCGAAACAGATCAGGAGAGTTTGCAACCAACACAGATGCACCGGCCCGGATTTGCTACCGCCAAGTCTTCCGGCAGAGCATGGAAGGCTTCTGTGAAGCAGCACCTGCATGCGCACCTGCGATGCAGCTTTGCACTCATGTCAAGGCATCCCTTGAATGTTCAGTTTATTGCACTCTTGGTCAAAAAAGACTCTCCACACCCTGAAGCTGAGGGCCAATGCCACACAGAGTTCATGTCAGATTTATACTCAGGCCTGCAAGTCTTCAACGTCCCGTGGCTTGGGCAGGCCGGTGGAGGGTTCTTGGATCCAGGCTAGATGACGCTTCGTGTGAGCTTTCGGCCAGGCTCCAACCGTCAGCGTGTCTCCACCTCAGATAATCTCAGGATTCTTGTGTGCTGCAGAAAATTGATTTGAGCTTGCTGCCCAGCTCCATGAACGAGTGGCTCCGAATTGCTGATCTTTTCGCAGGCACCACTATGTTCACCAGCCGGTGGGAACGCAACCCACAGCAGCTCCGACAGCGGCTCCGACAGCGACTCCCTTCAATGATATGGAGCGAGCAAAACTTCTGCAGCTGGGCCCCAAGCCGGCTGTGGCATTCGTGCGAACATCTCCTGGATGAGAGCCTGCGAGGCAGCAGCAATCCCATGTATATCAGACGGCACCACCAACACTAGGCACGACTGCCACTCCAGTGCCGATCGGTTATCTTTGTTCGATCCAGAGGACCTTGTGCAACGCAGCCTAATGCGTACTGGCAGCCAACACAACTGCTGACCGAAAAGGACATTCCTTCGCCAAGCTCGCATCTGGATAAGATCAGCACCTCAAGCTGAAACATCATGAGGAGCAGAAAGCTGTTGCGATTCGATTCGCACAAAAGTCCAGGTGCCTGCATGCTTGCAGTTTTGAGGAATCTGATTTGTTGGTGTATGGTTCTGAAGCGTATTTTTGGGTGTGCACTCTTATGTGCATGAGCAGCCAGGGTACGCATCAGACTGAAAACTGGTGAACAAGGTTGCGGCCACAAGCTCATCTTCAAGCGAATTGATGTTGCATTCTAAGCCATTCCCAGTCACGAGTCGACATCCAGCCTCGTGCATGAGGCCACAACTTCCTCTTCGCCGTGAAGGCCCGCTGTCTCTTCGTGTTTCTTCACCATATCAGGTCTGGCTCAATACGTCTGAGACTGAGATATTGCGGAGCATCTCACGGCAGCTCTCTCTTGATGGCAAGACATCGCATTCTTTTGGGGGCCTGGCACAGGGCTGATCACAGGCCCGTGAATTCGGGCGGACAGGGGAGTGGTCCATGGACCCAGTAGGAGGCTGTGGCCTTCCCGAGTCTTTATGCCTCTATCATCGCACTTGCATGCAACTTGCCAGGCGTGCCTGTCTGGGCATTGTGATCCCTGTGCGCTGGGACCTGAGAAACAGAATCAGGTCTGCCCCTCACACCACCCGCCCGCCCGCCCCCATAGTCACCTATTGATTTATTGGTTTTGAGTCTACCAGATCTACCAGATGAGGCACCTCGCACCTGGCTGTGCCTTTTCACAGGATGGGAGGCATCACTTGCGTCTTCAAGTCCTGGGAGCCGCTGGGGCCACAGTGCAACTCGAGTTTGTCAGAGTTCAGGGGCTTTCGGAGGTCTTTATGGAATCGCAAGGAGTGCCTTAGGGCGACGACCGGCAAAGGGCAAACAGAACACTGAACGGTGCCTCCCTCGGCCTTGAGGTGGAGCTCCTGCTCCCAAGCATGTGAGGGAGGTGTGGAGGAGCGAAAACGTGGGGCGGCAACCCCAGAGCACGACTCGCGCGGATTCACGCATGCCGCCACCAGACCAGTAGCACATGCAGATCTGACGTTCCAACCAGGTCACTGAGGGCGTTGCTAGCTCACACGGCGGGGGCTGCGATGGTGCCTTGGTGACTGTTCGGGCCTTGGATGCGAAAGGTAGCGGCGTAGTGACCACGAGATTCCTGATGCAGAGGTGCGGTCCTGCAATACGCACCGCTGCGGGCAGGTGCATGCGTGCATGTTCAGATGTTTTGCAGCAGCCACTCCATGTCGGAATCTTTCATATCCTCTGCCCGTCTTTTGCTTTTCACCTCCAGCTTGACATAACTGGCGGTCTCCCTATCCGGCCCTATCCCGACTCACATGCCCTTCCCAACGTGCAGAGCTGCCTGCCGGTCGACTGCAAGTGGGGCAAGTGGAGCGAATGGAGCGCCCGGCACCCAGAGCACCAACAGCGCCAAGATATACGCTCGAAGCTGCAAGTCTGTTTCGTATTCGCCATGCTCCTTGCGGAATTTGAAACCAGGCTTGCTCCAAGTGCGCTGGACAGAAGACAAGACATCGCCGGGTGGTCAGGCCCGCCTCTGGGATCATGCCTGGCTTCGATTCAATTCAAGCCCCCGTTACTTCAGTCCGTAGAATGGCCTCATCCAATGTCCTGCGTGCAGGGTCCCCGAGTGTGGCGGGCGGCGCTGCAAGGCAAGAACACTGCCAGATCTACAGCTTGTGGACCTGCAATTGTTCGTTGCATGCACCAGTGAAACTGTTTATCATATACTTGGCTTGGGAATGCTTGGCCAGCATGCTCGGTTCGGGTAGTGATGCTGCACCCTGCAACAGCACCAGATCTGTTGTGTCAGGAGGGTGATGTCGAGGAGATTGCAAAGTGCCCTCGGAATTGTCATGGAGAGCCAATTTGCGCATGGGGCTTGGGCTCCTGCCAGGAAGACATGTTGGTGATTCTGAATTGTCGTTTTGGCTTTGGACAGCATGCCCCAGCACTTCCGGAAAACTGCGACAGTTGTGCTCCGAAAGATCCAGTTAATTCATTCAACATGGCCAGGAAACCCGTGTAGATGCAGGACTAACATGGCTAGCCACCAGAGAACGGTTCCTTGTGTTCTGCGAAAATAGGTCCCCGAATCCTGAACGAAGCCTGCAGGGGTGACCCCAATGTGTTGATCAGCTGCGTGCTGCTTCCTGTGCTGCTACAGGCATTGAAAGGGTTCTGCATATGGTAGTTGATCTAAAGCTCCTTGAGCCATATTTTACATGAACGGCCATCTGCATGGCTAAATACACTTTCGCGAAAGTTCCGCGATGGTGCCGCGAAAGTTACTTTTTTGCCAAAGTTATCTGTTTAGCCTACTTGCCGTACTGTTACTATTACTCTTACTGTTACTATTACTATTACTATTGCTATTGCTATTACAATACTATTACTATTACAATTACAATACTATTACTGTTACTGGTACTTTTACTGTTACTAGTACTAGTATCAGTACTGGTACTATTACAAATGCGAGAACTGGTACTAGTACTGGTACTATGACTACTACTATTACTATTGCTGCTGCTACTGCTGTTGCTATTGTTAATATCGTTAATACTGTTACGATCATTTCTATTATTACTACTACTACTACTACTACTACTACTACGACTACTACTACTACTACCACCACCACCACCACTTCCATTACTATCCCAAGAAGTATACCCAACGTATACGCTCACTAGCAAATCGACTGAACAC